AGAATTGCTGGGTCAGATGGCAACTTTATGTTTAACCATTTGAAGAACTGTCAGAATGCTTTCCAAACTAGCTGCAACATTTTACATTCCCAGGAGCAATGTATGAGGATCCCAACTTCTCCACAGCCTTGCCAAACTTTGTCATTATCTGTCTTTTTTATTACAGCCATCCCAGTGGGTGTGAAGCAGTATTTCGTTGTAGTGCCTGTGTCTATTTAACCAAGTATATTGTTCTGAGATAAAAATTAGTTCTATATCTTGGCCTTTTCCCCATATATACATACATATATACATGTAGATCTTTGTGATTTTTTTAAATGCTACATAGAATGCCAGAGCATAACTGAAGCCCAGTTTAACCACTCCCTCTTGATGGCTATCTAGGCTGTTTCCAACTTTTTATCAGTACAAACAGCACAGCAATGCACATTCTTGTTTTACCTCCTTGTGCACAGAGCAAGCATTTCTTGAGGATAGTCTCAGAAGTGGAATTGCTGGATATAGGGGTAAGCACATTTAAATTTCTGGAAAATATTACAAACTACTCTCTGAAAAAGCTCTACCAATTTGCACTGCACCAGTAGGGTATGAGTGCTCATTTCAGTACATCCATACCAGCCCTGGCTATTAACCCTTTTACTGGGCCAAAAAGCAACTTGTTTTCATTTGCATTAGCCTCATCCTCAAGAGGTTGACTACAGGGCTGTATTCCAACCTGTGGCTCCCCTTCCTCCTCTTTGGCACCAGGCTGCTGCCCCTCCATCTCTGTGTATTCCATGCTGCCCAGCACAGGGCTGAGTGCAGCAGCTACTGATAAATTTTGGAATCAGGCACTGTGATTTTTGCAGTCCTATGTGGAAAAATACGTTCTGAGACCCTACAAAATTCTACAGTGTCTTAGTTCTCCAAGATTTAATTGCAGATGTTAGAGCTTCTATCTGAGGTGTGCTGCCTTCTAAGCCTGAAAGAATTCAGGAATCCTTGACTCCTGGTCTAGGGAGCAATTTATTAGCAAACAGCAGAATGACTTAAATACCTAGTCAAGCTGGAACATGAGAGTCTTTCAAAACAGGGCCCAGGATCCTGGGAAGCAGGAAACCTCTTCTGCTGGAAACTTCCTGATACCATCATGCAAACAGAATGGGGAGAAAGCCTTAGGGGTCATTTAAAGCTGTCCAACTATACAAACTAGGAGACTGAGACCCCAGCTGGAAAGTGACTTGCTCCAGGTCACACAGCTAGTCGAGAGCAGAGCTGTGAGTGCAGCCCAGGTTCTGATTCCAGGTCAGTGCTCTTTCCTCAAAATGTGTGGAATCAGAGGATTTGCCTCTACACCCCTCCCCAAGCTCCTCTGCTCCTACTGGAGAGCATCACCTTTCTCAGAAGGCAGCACAGAGTGGGAATGAAGGGCTCTGGTTTTTGAAACAAACAGCTTTGGATTCAAATCCCAGCTCTGCCACCAAGGTCTAGTTACTTTACTCTTTGACCCTCAGTGTCTTCTTTGACGATTAATATTACCTACCTGACAAGATTATAGTTGTAGTTAGTTATTACCTGCCACACAGGGTTATATCAGATTTAAATGAGCCAAATACAGAAGCACTCATTAAACTGTGCCTTTTTCCACCCCTCAATGCTCCGCCTCTTGGGTGAATCAGCTGCGAGGGTGTAAAGATTAATTTCTCATAGCGTAGGGAATTCCCAGTTTAGACTCCACATAGTTGGGTGGATCATGTGTCCCCCACTTTGGTATTTCATTTGGATTTGGCTAGAGTTGCCACCTCCCAAGTCACTCCTTTATTAAACCACTGTTCACAGTGGAGGGACTGCCAATCTGGGGAACACTCATCGATAACTGCTGATCTGGATGAACCCGAGTGGACCTCTGAGTTTTTTCCTTCCCAGCATCCTTTTCCCCTCTGGTAACAGCTCCTGACTTGCCTTTAGTGAACTACGCCTCCTCACATCTTAGGCCATAGGTGTCAGTGACACTCCCCCTGCCTCCCAATTTTAGGAGCAAAAACATGATCAAGTCTGGCTAACCAACAGAATATATACCCTGGCTCCAGGGAGTGACTGGTTCAGCAATAAGCATGTCACTTAACAGAGTCAAGGGAGAGTCAGCCCTGGGAATCCTTCTGCTGGAAATCCTTGAGAATTTCTAGCAATTTCCAATTGGGAAGTGCTAAGTTGGTAAGACATAAGCCTGGGGATGCTGGTGACCTCTGCATAGGAAGAACCTACCTGAGGATAAAGTAGGCAAAGGCGAGCAGAAGAAGAGACTGAGACAGACCAAGTACCAATGACACCTATCCCCTGGGTCCAGCCATGCCTGAATTTAGAGCTAAATATTTCAGTTATATGAGTCAATAAATTCCCTTTTTGTCCAGTACAGGGACTATAGCCAATATTTTATAATGACTTTAGATGAAGTATAATCTCTAAAAATATTGAATCACTATATTGCACACCTGAAAATAATATAATATTGTAAATTAACTATACTTCAATCCATCAGTCGATCAACTCCCTTTTTTTGCTTAAGCCACTTTGGAGTGGGTTTTGTTACGTGCAATTCAAAAAGTGCTGACTACATGGGACATCTAAGGTGCCTTCCCACCCAGAGACTGGGATTCCAGGTTCCTTTTGGATCCTACTTCTACCAGACAATGATCTTCAAAGAGTTTCCAGAATTGAGCAACAGCACTCTCAGAGATCACTTAGTGCCAACCTCTCCTTATTTATGCAGGGAGACCTGGGGGTCAAGGAAGGGTGAGAGCATGTCCTGAGTCATGCATACAACAAAGCCAACAGGATATCAGCCCTTGGCTCTGTCAATAAATACACCCACATGAGTGGGTGATAATAGCTGGCAGTGCAGTGCCAAAACACTGACAGGTCTCCTCAAGGACACGCACACAGGGACAGGGGCTCCCTCCTTCAGCACGAAAAAGAGAGTTACTGTACCTCAGTTTCTCTAATTGCAATTGAACAAACACACAGATAAATGCTGTTTTTATCATAAATGGAGTGTATGGAAATGGGGAAAAATTTTTTCAGGGGACAAATATGAGCAAAAAGGAAAATGAAGCCACTTGCACTAAAACTGACAACAACTGGGGAGCATATTTCTTTGCGTTTGCTTTATCTATGAAGATTTATATCGGGTAAGGTGGAGACTTACTCTGGGGGACCCAAACTATCCTCCTCAGGAATGAACTGGGATGAGTCTTGGGA